AGTTAGAAAAGTCAAACTTAATTAATGAATTTCTAATTTTATCAAGCATTTAATTAATGCATCTAATATTTTGGGCATGCAAATCAGTAGCATTTAGTTCCTAAAATATTGGATATGCAATATTAATGTAATTCCTAAAATGTTGGTATGCGACACGTAAAAGAAGATTTTTTAATTTTTTTTAAATATAAAATATTGCAACACGTAAAACTATTCCAGTTATGTTTTATTTTATTTTGCATATAAAATCTAATCAATATTTAATGCATCCTACAAAATTGGATTTAGTTTAATTCTCCATACAAATGGTTGTAACTTTTTCAGTTGTACTTTTTTTATTTATTTATTTTACACTTTTAAATTAATGAAGCTCTCTGAAAATACCAAATCATATGATTTATGATTTTTTTTTTTTTTTACAATTTTAAATCTATATACCCAGCTCAAAAAACTCATTTCATAAATATGGACGAGTTTAAGAAAATTTTATAACCCAGCTTACAAAATTCCATCTCCACGAGTCAAAAAAATCCCATCACTCATCTATCGTAACAACTTTAAAGATAAATAAATAAAAGTCTAATTACTACTATAAATCCATTATCTATTTAGATTTTCTTAAAAAATCTAAATTTCACCTGTCTAATTACTAATATTTTAGATACTTTTAAATATTATTTGTATATTTTTTTACACATTTGCTCTCTATATATATATATACATATATGGAGGTTAAATGAAGAATTTTAAGACATGTATTTCTCACGGGTAGTTTAGAAAAATTTAGGTAGCTTCAAACATTATTTGTGAATAGTATAGAATATTTTAGATGCTTTTATAGATGTTATAAAATATTTTAAGTATTTTTAATATTTATATATCACACTTAGAAAGAATATTTTGCCAAAAAAAAAATATTAAATAGACATTGTAAATGTTAATAGAAACAGTCTTCAGTGTTCATCTTTGATCTCAATTATATATAAAATTTCTTTTTATTTGTCACATAATTTTTGGTGTGCATTAATCTCGATTTGTATTTGTAAAATTGATAGCTTTTACATTAATTTCAATTTGTATTTCTAAAATTGATAAATTGTTAGCCGTACAAATTATCTTTTATGGTAACAACTTAAAAAAATGATAGTAATTTTTGAAATATTGTGTAGTCAAATCTTCATATTGAAGTAACATCATAATTATGGTATCTTATAAATCTTCTCTAAAACAACTTTAGCGTGAGATAATGTCTTTATTTATGCTTATAATATTCTAGATACTTAAACAAAATGTTCAGATTAGAGGTTTTTCCACGTTAAATCTTGGTGTCTTATTTTTTACATATTTTATTTATTTGGGATATTTTTAGTATGCTCTGTGGTCGCAGTTTAATCTGATCTTCCACTCAGAAAAGAATTATTCTTGTTTTATTGCAAGAGATTTTTTTTTGTCATTCTTGAGTTGCTGGAATTAAGATTATTGTTCACCATTTCCTGCCAGTATTTTAATTTACACATTCAGCATTTGCGCACCTGAGCCCAACAAGTGGTATCAGATTCAAAACTAAATCCATGTGATTATTGTCTCTCTGGGAAGCATCATAGAGTGTCTTTCAGCAAAACCACGAAGCTAAAAGAGAATGTGTTGGAGATGGTGTATTTTGATGTATGTGGACCCATGGAAGTGGAGAGTCTCGGTAGTAGCAGATATTTCGTGACATTTATTGGCGATGCTTCACGAAAATTGTGGGTGTACTTCTTGAAAACGAAAAATGAAGTTTTTCAGTACTTCAAAAGGTTTCATGCTATAGTGGAGAGACAGGTTGGTAAACCTTTGAAGTGTCTTCGCTCAGATAATGGGGGGAGTATACTTCCCATGAATTCAAAAATTATTGTGCTGATCATGGAATCAGACATGAGAAGACTGTACCTGGAACCTCACAACATAATGGTGTGGCTGAATTTTTTTACATATTCTATCTATATGTACACACACACACATATATATATATATATATATATATATATATATATATATATACTCACATATACGTAACACATGTTAAGTTTAATTATTTTTAGACATGTTTTCTTTATAAAATAGTTTAAAAAATTTTACATGCACATCTATCTATACTTATATACAAAGACATTCTATTTACTAGAATTAGTAATAAGAAAAGTCAAAGGTAATTAATGCATTCTATTTCCATCAAGTATTTTATTTAATTATTTTAGTTAATTGTTTTATCTCATAACACCTTTTGAATACAACTTGCCATGATTTGTATATTGTGATTAAAAACCAAATTTTACGATTAAAATCTTCTAAAATTATTATTATTATTTTGTTAAAGCACATATTATTTGTTAAAAAATGTATATATATATATATATATATAATACACATCACAGTACCATGGTAGATGATTTAAATTTCAACCGACCAAAATGCCAATAATTTAAATTTGAACACACATATACGTTTGACCAAATGTCTGGATGATTTAAAATTAAGCCCATAAAAAATTATTTAATTTTTTTTTTTTTTTGGTACAAAGAAGGAGGCTAAAGCCTCATGATTTCTAATCACCCACGTTACGTGAGTAAGACACACCAATCACATCATGGTGCAACCACTGTCGGACCCCCGAAGGGGGCACACTAAACGAATGATATCCCATCGGACCCTCCGCAGCGAAGGAAGCCATGAAGTCGGCTGCAAAATTCGCCTCGCGATACACGTGTTTCACCTTAACTTGCCAAGAGCGACACAATAAGTCTTTAATTCCCCTAATAAGGCCCGAATGCACTCCCGTGACATCACCCATCGACTCCGCGAAACTCACTACACTGGCATTATCAACTTCAGCTTCAACCTGCCTATATCCC